GCAGGGGTTTGGGCAGCAAAGTTGCTCAGTGGACTCTTTGCCTCCCTCTCAGACCTAAGACCTGCAGAGGAGGGCTGTTGTATCTTCAAATGGGGGAGCCAGGAATTCCAGTCAGCCCGTGCCTCATGTTGGGGGGTGAGGGTGGGAGCAGAAGCTGAGTCGACTGGCCTGTTGCAAGGAATGGGAGGGGTCAGCACAGACCACAGGAGCCAGGGCTAAGATGTTTCCTGGGGTCCCAGTGCAGGCACAATAAGGTTTTCTTCTGTCAGAAGCGGCCTAATGGGGCTGTGTATGTGTTTCCTGCACCATTATGGATGTTTACCTAAGCAGAAAGCTTATGTTTAACAATTTAAGTAAAAATTAAAAGTGGGCTTCTCCTAACTTTTTATAACTGAACTCAATGCCAATAATCAATCACTCTCTCATGTCTCTCAGCACATCAGGAGATAAATTAGCAACTCTTTTAAGAGTCTGACTTGTATCAATTTTAGAAACTTTAGAAAGGTAGTATATAAAAGATGGTGTCTGCCTTTCCTGAAATTTAAGATTTTGGCTTTGTTGAATCTGAAGATTTAAATAGACAACTTTAAAATATAATGAACCTTTTTAAAAGCTAAGTCCACCTTGAGAGGAAAACCACTGGAATTAGCAATGAGAAATCCAATTATAAAAGTTTACATTTCTAAAAATTTCCAAATATTAAACTGAAGTAATAGAAAAAAAAAAAGTGGAGCAGGTGAATATTCAAATCAGAGATTCTCCAATTTCTTAGCTCTAGGACTCTTTGCATAATGCCGCAAATCAGTAGTCTAGGGAACTTTTTCAGCTACAGGGATATTTCTGCTCATCCTAAAGCTCTCCTTTATAAGTAACTCCACATTCTACCTTAGGAAGCTCTCCATTAACCCTGATGATAACAAAATCCTTCCACCATGGACCAAAATAGAAATGTTATTTTCTGGTTTTAATATCATCAAGCATCCCATGGTATTTTCAGCACAACAGCAGATAGTCTGGAATGGATACTTATTACCCTCAAGCAAGATCTTTTTCTAGTGCATTGTGTTGAAGTAATCTCTTTAGGTGTGAAATATTTGGGTCTGCTCCTGAGCAGATACTAAGATAATCTGAACTGGCTGTTTTTATAAGATTGCCTTTAAATGTTATCATCATGTCATTTCAACTTCCCTCCCTCTAGGTTAAAAACACTACTAAACCAACCACAACAGAATTCAGTTTACATAGTCAAATCTTTCCTACAAATTACCGAAGGAGGTACTGGATAAAGCAGATCCCCTCTACCCGACACCATTCTTAGCACTTCTGAGAGAACCAGTGACCTCCATTCCTTGAAACTTTTATAACTACTTATTTGGAATAATTTTTAAGTATTTTTGTGTTATTTTTAACATAACATGGCTTTACCATATTCACACTTTGTGCAACCATTTAATTCCAGAACACTTTCATCAGCCCAAAAGAAACTCCTTACCCATCAATGGTCACACCCCATTCTTGCTCTCCCCAGCCCCCAGCAACCACTAATCTACTATCTGTCTGCATGGATATTACATATAATTTGCCTGTTCTAGACATTTCATATAAAAATGGAATCATATGTGATCTGGATTCTTCTGTACCTAGACTCATTCAGTATGCTTTCAAGGTTCATTCACGTTGTGGCATGTATCATATTTCATTCCTTTTTGTGGCTGAACAGCCAATGGCAAGATATACCACATTTTGTTTATCTACTATCAGTTGATGGGCAGTTTGGTTGTTCTCACTTTTTGGCTATTGTGAATAACATTGCTATGAACATTTGTACATACATTTTTGTGTACACACCTTTTCACTTCTCTTGAGTATATACTTAGGAGTGGAACCGCTGGGTCATAGAGTAACTCTATGTTTAACTTTTTGAGGAACTCCTGGTGATTCATGCAATTCAGTCCAGCCGCATGGCCATTAATGGGTCATCCAGTGAAAATGCTATTTCCATCAGTATCAAAACGCTTTCTATAAACAACCAGGAGTAACATCCATTACTTTCCCCAGCGCTGTGTGGCATGTCACATTAACATTTAAGGAAACTAGACTTATCTAACACAACTGGTTTCCTGGTACTTCATGCTTTTCTGGCTGCCTCCAAACCAAGTGGAGCTACATCTGAGAATCATCATGGGGAGGAGGGGGGGTTGCTGTGAATAGCGACACTGAAGAACAGTTGCTTACACACAGGGCCTCTAGAGCATCTTTTGGTTTAATTGTGCTGTTTCAGGCACCAGTCAATCAGGTCCAAAATCTATATATTTTCAGCAGATTGATTCTTTTCAATTGAAGCACGGCTGATTTACAGTACTGTGTTAGTTTCAGGTATACAACATACTAATTCAGCATTTTTGCAGATTATATTCCATTATAGGTTATTACAAGACAATGGGTATGATTCCCTGTGTCATACGTATATCCTTGTTGCTTATGTATTTTACATATAGTAGTTTGTATCTATTAAACCCATACCCCTAATTTTTCCCTCCCTCCTTCTGAGTCTATTTCGTATATACATTCGTATTATCTTTTAGATTCCACATATAGGTGATATTATACAGCATCTGTCTTTGCCCAACTTATTTTACTAAGCATAATATTCTCTAGGTCCATCCACATTGCTGCAAATGGCAGTATTTCGTTCTTTTTTATGGCTGAGTAATATTCCATTGTTTATATATACACACACCACATCTTAATCCAAACACCTGTTGATGGGCACTTGGTTTGCTTCCATATCTTGGCTATTGTAAGTAGTGCTGCACTGAACACTGGGGCACATGTATTTTTTCAAAGTAGTGTTTTCATTTTTTCCAGATACATACCCAGGAGTGGAACTGCTAGATCATATGGGGGAATTGCTAGATCTTATGGTTGCTCTATGTTCACTTTTTTGAGGAACCCCCATACTGTTTTCCACAGTGGTTGCACCAATTTATATTCCCATCCTCAGTGTACAAGGGTTCCCTTTTCTCCACATCCTCTCCAACACTTGTTATTTGTAGACTTTTTGATGATAGCCATTCTGACAGGTGTGAGGTGATACCTCATTGTAGTTTTGATTTGCATTTCTCTTACAGAGATGTTAAGCATCTTTTCATGTGTCTGTTAGCCATCTGTATGTCTTCTTTGTAAAAATGTCTATTCAAGTCTTCTGCCCCTTTCTTGATTGGGTGGTTTGTTTTTTTTTTTTTGATACTGAGTTGTATGAGCTGTTTGTATATTTTAAATATTAACCCCTTGTCAGTCGCATCATTTGCAAATATTTTCTCCCATTCCATAGGTTGTCTTTCTAGTAGATTGAGAAACTAAGTCTCTAGATTACCAGTTGGCAAACTACAGCCCATGGGCCAAATCCAGCCAGCTACCTTTTTTTTTTTTTTTTTAAACAACCTACTAGCTAAGAGTTTTTACATTTTTAAATGTCTACATTTTAAATAGTTATGTACGTACCTATATATAACATCCACAATTTGTATCTTGGCTCCCAATGCCTAAAATATTTATTATCTGGTCCTTTAAGAAAAAAATTGCAGACCCCTGCTCTAGATGATACTCATGCAAATTAAACTAGTCTCCAGTCTTATACCAGAGATTCCCAAACCATCTTTTCCTGACACCTCCATGAAATTCACAATTCTTTTATCAGTATGATCATAAGGTTTCAAAAACTCTTCCCATCACATTCTAATTTTGGAGAGTTTCTATAAAATATGATCTATATAAAGCTTCAAGGAAATAGTAGTACCTCTTTAGATTTTTAGAGATTAGAAAAATATTATATACTTAGGGATATTTCTAGAGAACAGGCTATTAAGCACTGAAATCAAAGGAGCTTTAAAAACAAGATGATACATCTACTGTTTTGCAAATAACTTGGAAGCTATCCTTTCTAAAGGGCAAGGAGATGATCTACACAATTTCTCCATTCTTCCCTCATCATCCCAATAAATCACCTCAGACTATTGCTCTGGGGTCCAGCCTCAAGTCCTGAGCACAATTTTCTCAAAAGATGAAAAGTGGAATGTACATACCTTATATTAGCTACTCTTTTTGTTAAGCGGCCAATTCCGGGATGTGGAGGTGTTGCCCAGGAATCAAGCCCATACAGACACAGACTTCTGAAGTGCCAAACAGTAGTAAGAATTCTCTCTCAGCTCTCCGCACTACTCTGGGTGGTGAAAGACAGTCCTTTTCAACCTCACAACTGGCATTCTCTTTCATTACTTATGGTGCAGGCCATCCGTCAACGTGAGACAGAGCAGGAAGCTGCTGGAAGGAGTGTGCGCATCCAGCTCTCCCCTTTGAACGGTCTGCCGCCTCACTGAAGAACGTTTTCTCCAGATGCTGCCAGCAGACACTCTGTAATATTTAACCCACAAATCATCACATTCCCCACCCTCTGAGCTGGGGCTTGTCCTTGAACCTCCCCCATAGTGAGATATTAACCAAGCTGGCCACCGATACAATAGCTCTTTACAAACTCAGTAAAACCTGCCACACCACGGAACCGATATACTAAAAACACTGCCCTCCTAACATGAAAACATCCACTGTAGGTAAATCTCGGAGGGTAATGCAGGACGCTGCAGACATCTCACAAGGAATAAATCCTGGCTAGCTCACTAAGGAAAATATTTTACCAATGTAAACATATCAGCCATACAACTGTACAGAAAATTAGAGCAAGTGTATCTTGGAAATGGAGCCATCTTGCAGAAACAGTATTACAGGCAAGTCACTTCAGATCCTGCAATGTCCAGGAAAACTGCCTTTCCTCTGAAGAAGGGAACCATATTGCTATCTGGTTGTTTCAGGAACCAGTATGGATTTTAAAAAAATGATTCTTGAATTTTATCTACTGTGACACGTTAAAGCCATCTACAGAGCAAAGTGTTTCCAAACCATGATACTGTAACTTAGAAAGATGACTGACAGGATATACTCACACTGAAAAGGTGCTGCCATATGATCGTGCCCAAATCTTAAAGGGAATGAACCTTCAGTAGACTGCTCTCCCGAAATCACCTTCTGAGCTGCAAAGTACTTGGGCTTGAGCACATATTCCTGGGCATGGCCATGATGAATCATCACATTCTGTGAGGAAAGGGGTGTCACTCTGGAAAGAAACAAAGTAAGGATAAGGAAATTAATAACGGACTTTTAAAGTCAACTAAGAAGGAAAGAATAAGAAATCAGTTAAACTTAGAAAGGAGCATAAAAATTTCACGCAAGGCTAATTTTTTCCTTCAAATACTGTAGTCATGACATATTAAGAAATAATACCACCTTACCCTTGGAAACCGCCAACATAAAGGGGACTCTGCCTGTCTAGTCAAGAAGCATAAGGACATACAGGTCATCAACAGACGGAGTCTATCAAAGCACTGAAAGCACAGCTACCATGAGCCCTCATGCAACACACGCAAGTTATATTTAAGACAAAAACATACATGAACAGGTATATCAGGAAGGTATTAAACCTCTTTGAGCCTCACTTTCCTATTCTGTACCATGGAATATCTGCTGCACAGGGCTAAGAAAAAAATTCTTGTAAAAATCTGAACACACAAAAACTGAAAAAAACATTATAATCTTTTGAAATACAAATTATGATGATGGGGAAAAACACATTCATAACATTGTAGTTAACAGTTATTTTAATATTTTATGCTGTATCTCAATGATTAAAACTGTACTATTTAGGTTAAGTGTTTCATAATTACTAGTCTCTAAGAATAATAAGAATAATAATTTATGACAATCTCATAATTTTGTCAATGACACGAGTCAAGACCTCTGAGGACTCCTGAACACGATTACTGTGTTTTCACCCTCCTGGTTGAACCCTTTTCTCTTCTATGACAGTTCTCTACTGCTGCATGTACTGTATACTTTAAAATAAGCCTTCATCAAGATTTAATCACTCCCGGAGGGACAGAATTGAAATCATTCACTAAGCAAGACAAACAATGTAGAATATAAAGAAGATATACTAATTCTGGAAAATGCAAACTTGCTATTAAAATTGTTGGAACAGACCATTTTAGCAGCAAACTGAGCCTCTGGAAGGAAACTTGCCCTCTGCTGTAATCTTGAATATTGACTGTGACACGTTAAAGCCATCTAAACCGAACAATATTTCCAAACTACCATACTATAACTGGGGTTTTGTGGCACCTGATTAGCATGAGTTTAGCCCAGTCAACCATCTTCCCAAAAGACTGGCCCTAATGAGGGACTATGTGAACAAGAGGAAGAAAAGACACCACGGGTGGTGAGCAAGAAAGATTAATCATCAAGCCACCAAAAACACCCACACAGTGTCTCAACAAAAGCAGTAGCAGAATCTTGAATAAATCCAGCCTATTGGATTCATTCTGGTTGGGATGGATGGGCTACTTTGTGAGACAAGACAACCATTAGAGACAAACAGAAGAGGCTGGGATTAAGGGTGCTTCCCTCTTAGCCAGTCAGTGATCTAAACCTATTACTTTCAACCCTGTAGTCCCAGGAAAGCCTAGGAAAATACATCTTGCGCCTAGATTTTCCCAGACGCAATGCCATGGAAGGGCATTCTCTTTGTCACTGGATGACTGACTTAAGTTACTAAAAGCCTAAAGCTTAACATTGTAAACACTTTTGTTTTGATGATGTAAGTGTTGGTTTGAACTTTAAGTATGTTTGATTGGGATGAAGTAGAAAGTGAAACAGCTGGTCACATCTGGTGGTGACTGATAAGAACCACAAGGCTGCTCTGTCAGCCTTGTGGAAAGGGGAAGCCCTCCTTCTCATCTCAGGGGCAACTCGCTCCCCAGCTACACTGTCAACCCCGTCACTATACTACTGGGACCTGCTGAGAGAAGTACAGGCTGACTCCTGTTCAGAAGAGGACAGTCCGGCATTCCAAGAGACCCTGAAGCTGCTACAACTAATTCCTGCTCTGACCACTGCCAGATAAGGGTGACCGTGGGCTCTGCCTTCTAGTGGAGGTCCTCCCTTTCTCTCCCCTCCTAATCACAGAAGTGAGAAGCAGCAAGAAACGAGCTGAAAGCACATGTGTGTGTGGGCTCCTTTTCCCTAAACATAACAAAAAGGTAATGAACCAACAAGAGAGCTGTACCAGGTCTAGAACTTGAGTAACAAACCTCAGCCATCATTAACTAAAGGAAATGAGTAATAGTACTGGTAATGGTACCCACGCCTTACTATAACTATCCTACAAGCGACATTGCAAATATGAAACTACACAGAGCTGTGCTTCCTCGTCCTCCATCTCCTTCACTTTCCTCCAATTTGAGGATGTAAATAAATACATGTGCTCACAAAGACACACAGACACACACAGATGAACAGACAGACACACAGACACACACAGATGGACAGGCCACTGTGTCTCATGGCCTCATGGAGAAGCAAAGCCATAAGAAGTGACACCATGTGGAGCAAGTAGAGGCAACTGTCCACTCACTCATTCCACAAATAGAAATTAAATGTAATCGCCATCCTACTCTCTCTTCCTCACTTCCTCCTTCATGGTTGGCATCTACCTTTTCCTCTAATGTCACCCTTCACAATTATTTCCACTTTGGACCATCTCTCAGCCTTACAAATATATATCCTCTTTAACTCTTCTTTTCCTTCTCTTTTACTCAAGTATATGTAGTGTTTCCTATCTCCCAGGGAAGAAAAAGAAAAAAAATCTCCTTTCAATTGGAATTTTCTCCTCTCTTCCCCCATCCCTTCACATAAAAAAAAAAAAAAAAAAAGGCTTAAAAATCGCTAGTGAAAATCAGATCTGTCATAGCATTATAAATAATTTTTTAAGGGAAAACCAAAATGTTTAAAGAAAATTAGATTAAAATGAAAACTACAGGACCCCTGGTTCAAAATGGATTTGGGGGCACCCATATATTTTCCCTTCCTCCAAAGAAGCCCTAAAAGTTATAGGTAAGGAATAAAAAAAGAAATCCAGACTTGACATTGGGCTGTTATGCAATAGGACAGCCACACTAGTCATCAAAATACTGAAGTACTCTGTTCTGACAAACATCTACTGTCCCAAGCCCTTAGTGTTCCTCCCTCCCCCACTCCACTGGACTCCCCAGGATATCCACTCAGTCCCATAAGTAAGAATTTCACATTTGACAGAGCTGGAGACCTCAGGGTCTCGGCTCCAGCATCCTTTCTGATGTGTGGCACAGGTACTGACCAAGGATGCTAAAAATGTTTCACAAAGCCCATTAACACATACAGGAAAAATTTCAACAAATCTGTAAGAGAGCAGGGCAGACTGAGAAATGTTGACTGTTGTAGCAGGAAGGAAGCCATACCTAAATATTTTAACTTCTTTTATCTCAATCTACAGTAAGAAGCACATTTTACATGGAGATCCAGTACACATCCATACATATTTTTTTTAAATACAGCTAAGTATTACAAAATAGTATATTTATCCTTACTATGCAAAGGACACGAATATTCTCTCCTGTCACTTTTTTAAATGACAGTCTTGAACTACTACATTGATGTCATGACTTCCTGACTCCTAATGGGTCACAAAGTAGCTTAAGGACACTGGTCGAAAAAAAATCACACAGGCACAGAGGAAGCCATCTTCCCAGGAGACCACAGACATGTTCTGGATACTCAAGCCAAGTAAAGCACAGGGTGATAATGAGAAGTAGGGCTGAACACTGGTGTCTTCACTAAGAAGGCTACATATGAAGGCAGCTGTTCTCCCTGATTCTAGCAAAGAGAACATCCAAAAGTCAGGCTTCTACCCCCATCAGGGGAAAAATGAGTCTTCTTCTCTAAAAGAATGGAACTATGTGGTACAAACCACAAAACTTACGCCCCCAGAGTAAGGCCCTCTCATTCTGGTGTTTGGAGATCCCCTAGCTTCAAGATTGGTTTCCCATATTTCCCCTAAAAGGAAGGTTGCCAGGCAACCAGGAGACAGGGAGCTCCAGGAGAATGATCCTAGGGAGAAAAGGGGGAGTCATGAGAATGGAAAACATGATTGAGATTTTGGAGAAACCTGACTATATATACGCAATTGACGGAATGGGAAAAGGGAGAATCCATTCCCATTTGATGCTAGGAACACACTCCTTCAGAAAGCACAGAGACGTTGGCTATGGACACACAGAGGGGGCAACCCAAGCACGCTATACTCGGCTTTGCCTTGAGTGGAACACCCACAGACAATATTGCAAAGGCTGTAACTGCTAGAAACAACCCATGTGACCAACGTAGGTGATATAAATGTACATACCTAGCTGGAGGAGGTTGGAAAATTCTGGAAGAGGAAGAGGAGAAGTGAAGGGAAGATGAGGAGAGCCACTGCCCTCATCTTACAAAATGGAGGGTCATGAGAGAACATTCACAACCTTGAAAGATGAGGTTGACGGAAGAGGAAATAGAGGTTTAAATGTGTTGGCGGAGTATGCAGAGACAAACTCTTAATACTAAACAATGATGTTTGAGAGGTAGGGTGGGGAACGAGAGGTGAAATGAATAAGCTGAATCTTCATCTCCTACGGCAAGCAGTTTTTAGACAACATTTAAAGGGAGTAAATCTAGAACTGGCCAGAGGTCACTACCAGAAGGAGTAATAGGACTTGAGGGTTAAATTAAGGGTGGCGGGGAGCAAAAGGAAAAGGAGTCAAGTGATGATGAAGGTTTCCAGCCTGGTTGACTAGAAGGGTATTTTTGGTTCAAGTCCAAGAGGAAAAGTAAAGGCAAGGAGGTGTGCCGAGTTAAGACAGTCAGAAAAAAAGGGCCAGTGTGTGAGGAAGATAATTATGTTAGTTTTAGAGATAGAAATGTGGGGTGGATCTCTGGAGAGCAGATACAGAAAGCCTCTGAGTTTAGGAACAGTGATGTTCCAAAAGAGGCCAAACTCTTCTAAGGCAAAAATGTTTCAGAAAAACTATGGAACCACACAGTCTTGGAGGCTAGTCGCACTTAGTGGTGGGGACACAAAGAAAATCAAGAGGAGATAAAAACAAAAATAACATAGGGGCTTCCCTGGTGGCACAGTGGTTGAGAGTCCGCCTGCCAATGCAGGGGACGTGGGTTCGTGCCCCGGTCCGGGAGGATCCCGCGTGCCGCGGA